CCATCCAGGGAACAAGAGTCCTGGGGCAGGGGTGGGGGAGGACATGGTAAGAAAGAGCAGAGGACGGAGGACTTGGTGGCCACCCTCCTGCCTGGCCACCACCGGGAGCACAAGAAGCAATGGACGGGGGGGGGGTGTCCAGAGAGACGAGAGAGGGACAGTGGGGTGTCTCTGGGAGTCACGTGGCTCTTCTTGAAACTTAGGTCTCACTTTTCTTCTCCTTTCCTTCCAGACTCCCTCCCTAGACTTGGCTGTTTTACTGCTTATTAACCAAGAAGCATTTAGTGCTCATTATAGGAAAATTCTATTACTAGACCTTTAGTGCTTCGGTGTTAGGTGCTATCTATATAAATCTAATTAATTAATTAGATTATTAATAGCATCTTCCAGCCTCCTTCTAACTGGTGTACACAGGATTCCTGGGAAGTGCTCCTAATTCCATCTTGAGCTTTGCGTGTCCCCGGCTTCCAGGGAAGGTTGCATGTTTCCCAGGGGAGGAGCAACGCATTATTGGGATTGCTGAACTTTGCAGCCCGCCCCCTGTGCCCTGCTCCACTCTGCATTCTGCACTGTTGGAGGAGCGTGCAGTTTTCCCACACTGCCTGCCACTGGGAGGCTAAGCCCGGTGCAGGAGGGCAATCCGGGAACGCACCTGACTGAATCACTTGAGCGGTGCTCACCAACACAGGGAGGCGCTGCCTAGCGCCTGGCTCTCCTGGGTGGCTCAGAAATCTTGGAGATGGGAGGTGGGGGGCGGGAATAGTGAAATTATGTGTTGGGCCACCTTCGAACCCCACACCCACACAGCGGGACAGCATAGAAGCTAAGATGACGAGCTTTGCAGTAAAATAACCCCGGGCTCAAGTTCCAGTTCCAACATCTGCTATGCAATCTTGGACAGGTTGCGTACCCTCTCTGCATCTCGCTGCCCGGCAGAACAGCTGAAAGGATTTAAGAGCACAGCGCCAGGTCAGTTAGCCGATCCTGGGGATACACAAGACAGAAATGGAACAGAGCAAGCCCGGATCTCTTCCTTCACACACTCAGACACATCTGCCTCTCTCTCGTTCATGCCACAAACGTGTACCGAGCGCAGCGTGTCCGGCACTGTTCCAGGCACTAGGGATACGCCCACGAGCACACAAGCACCTCGTGGTATTGTCACTTTGGGGGAGAGGAGGTCGGATCAAGAATAAATGAATTACACAAATAAACAGATGAACTACATCGTGCGTCAGATGGCAGCAAGTGCTCCAGAGAAACAAAATGAGAAAAAAAAGAAAGGAGGTCTGGCTGAATGGGAGGGGTGTGGTTTTAAATAGTGTGTTCAGGGAAGACCTCGCAGAGGAAGTGACACAGAATCAAGGCCAGAAGGAGGAGCTGGAAGAACATTCTAGACCGAGGGAGGAGGCTCTTAATTCCAAGACTCCGAGTTCACCTGGTGGGGTGGGGAGTGCGGCGTTCCCTAGGGCCTCCAAATGGTATTATTATAGTGCTGAGCACACAGCAAGTGCCAAATAAAGACGTCCTGAAGGGTGATTTTTCAAGCTGCCATTTCCAGAAGGTCCCAGTTGCTGATAATACAATATGGGCTGTTTAAACATTCAACACTCAACCCTGTCACGGTGCCGCCGCCGCCGCCCCGGAGGCCCCCAACCCTGGGAGCCTCCTTGTACCACACCTCATTATGAAACAGGTGAGCGGGGCTCCCGGGACCCTGCCTGTAATTAGGGCAGTATCTGAGCAAGGGCTATATTTATAACCCCCAGCCATCAGCAAGCCACTGAGACAAGGAGCGGGTCCCTGGGCAGCTCCTAGGCCAACATCTATATGGGAACTGATGACAACAATTAATTTAATAGGGATTCCTCCACACAAACAATGTATCATTTTATTAGGAAACTCTATAAATGTCAGTGGTGCAATTCATTTTTATTAATTTTCTAAAATGAAATTAGCAGTGGCTGTTGCAGTGGTACATAGAAGCTTCCTTGCCTTCTCCTTCAGCGGAGCATTGGCGTCATTAATTCCTTGGTACCAGGAGGCCAGTTTGTATGAACTCAGCAGTTAAGTGCACCAATTAATTTCAATACTAGAGATGGGGGGGACCCCAAACTCAACTCAACAACTAATTTAGGAAGGTCCTTGAACAACCACAGCAACTTTTCCTCCTCCTGGGACAAGAAGCTTTGGAGTGTAACACAGAGTGAATATTATAATACTAATAGGAAACGTTCTGTCTTCACCCTCTGCCTTGAGGAAAGAAATTCATCTTTCCAAAGCCTGGAGAGATTTTGGCAGATGTCTCCTGAAGTTGCAGCCTCCAGCGGGCCCCGGGGACTGGCCCTCACAGACAAGAGGAGCGGGGACGTCCGTGCACATCCACACCGAGCCTCACAGCATGCAGAGAAAGCCAGATCACAAATACGGTCTCACTCGACCCTCGTTATGGCCCAGTGAGGACAGGAGCATCGATGCCATTTCATACATGAAGAAAAACAGAGGGGCTTTTAATGAGGGGCAAAAATGACTTTCTAGAAGTCCGAAAGTGATTGAGGGGCAGGGCCAGGCCTCTAACCTGGATTTGCTGATATCTGATTCCCGCATTTCCTCTCAGCTGTGCACATGCCCCTTTGTGCCTCGGGATGGGAAGTCTCCTGGCTCTATTTATACTCCAAAAAAGTCAAGTGAGTCAGGCATGACCGTGAGTGACATTCACTTCTCAACTGAAACCCAAACTCTGAAGGCTGAAACACAAGGCAAAATCCCCGCTTGAAATGTTCTGATCTGCAGTCAGAGGATGTTCTGAAACATAGCACGTGTCTGCGTATCTGAAATCAGATGTCTGGCCCAGGACGCATTCCAGAGAATCTCGCTCTCCAGCTAAAGAGAAGCTCTTTCCTTCCACTTAGATTCAAGGAGTGTTTCGCTGAGGAGTGAAGGGCGCACAGAGAAGTTGCAGGCTGCTCGAGGTGAGGGCACTGTTCGGAGTCGGGAAATAGTGCAGACACAGAAATCAGACAGACTTCCTCCCCCCACCCCCCACAGAAACCAGGGCAGCGGTTCTCAAAGTGAGGCCCCAGACTGGCTGCATGCCGTCACCTAGGAACCTGTTAGAAATAACAGGTGACCAGGCCCCACCCCAGGACCACTGAATCGGAGACTCTGGGGCTGGGGCCCCGGCGTGTGTATTTTAGCAAGCCCTCCAGTGGATCCTGGTGCCTGCTCAAGTTTGGGAATGTCTGCCCTGGAATAAGATGCCCCCAGAAGAAAGGAGAGCTGAGTGTGCCAGGCTTTCCACAGCTGGAGACACGGCTGTGCTCACCAAATAGTAGACTGAGCCACCATTCACTCATCACTCCGCCCCTGCCCACGCTCCACGAAAGAATGTCGTTCCTGGCCCCGTTCTTACTGGGCTTGGCCACAGGAATGGCTTTGGCTAATGGATTTGTGAGCAGGTGCGACATAGGATGCCACATCCAGCAGGGATCCTCATTATGCCTACACGGACTGCTTTAGGCTTTGAAGCTCCTGCCATGCTCCATGACTATATGTCCCACACCGTGGGTGCTTCCTCAGCCTGGGTCCTAGAACAAAAGGACACATGGAGCAGTCCTAAACCCAACCAAAGCCACAGTGAACCCACTGACCCGTGAGCAGGGGGGAAAAGCGTCTGCTGTTCCAAGTCACTAAGTTTGGAGATTGTTTCTTAGAAAGCATGATCGCAGCAGAAGCTGACTAATGCAAACCACTTGATTTTATAGCAAAGGAAATCACGGCCCCAGAAGGCTGAGGAGCTGAGAACATTCTGCAGAGGGATTCAAGCCGAAAGGTAAAAAAAAAATCAGTGCCAACCTCTAGCCTGACCTGTGGAGATGTGAATCTCAGAACTAAACTTTCTCCTCAATATCCTCCGACCTCCTCCAAAATGGACATTTTTATCCTCGTCGAAATGATGCTAACCAGTAAAAACTGAAGCCTAATAAAGTAATAGTCCAAAGTACCATCCAGAACGAGTAAACATTCTAGAGGGTAAGACCCTCTTTCCTCCATGGCTCAGAAAGAGTAGAGGTCAAGGAACGGGCCAAGGGGGCAGAGGACACACCCCCGCGCCTTCCCCTGGAGAATTTGGTGCTTCCGCCCCAAGGGAGACAGACCGACCTCCTGCCTCTGAAGTCACACCCACTGCCCGGTCGCCGGGAGAGCCACACTCCAGCCGACGCGCATCACACCGACGAGGGTATGCCCTGGCACCGCTAATGGAAAGGTGGTGGCAACTGCTGGCCACGGATCTCCGAAGCTCTAAATTGCAACATACCAAAAATGAAACCGGAGGGCAGGGGAGGAAAGAGGGGGCTGCCTTTTCAATACACCCCAAGCCCCAACTTCACCGTCGTTCACACAGCAGTATCTGTGTGGTAGAACACCAGGCGGCCACGTCTTCACCGATTCCCCGGCCCCGGGTGGTGAGGGAAGGGCCGGGTCTGAGGCAGGTGGGAGGTTCAAGCTCATTCACTGCACAATAATAAACTGCAATCCTAGCCCCTGCTTCTGATTTGGGAGATCTTCTCAGCACCACCAAGAATGACTCAACTTTCAGTTCGTAAAGCACCTTGAGGTGAACGTGGACAGTTAAGGTAGTTTCCTGTTTAAAGAGTGAGTTTCTAGAGAACACTGGTGGCTGGTGGGCACTTTCCCAAAATAAACCTCCCCTGATGTTCCCACCTGCCAAGGCTTTCAAAGCAGCCAGCTGGGGGACCCAGCCTTAAGCCATCCCGTTAAAAGTCCCAATTCATGTGACGGCAGCTACACTGTTTTTAAGCTGATTGTGGTCACGGCCACGGTCTTAGGTCAACTAATGAGACCCCAGTGTCACATGCTATCAAACACAACATGGTATGTTCAACTTGCCCATGAATTGATTGGCCAAACCAGGTAATCAATGAAAATCAATCCATTTACCGTACATAGTTGAAAAGCTGCAAGATTTGGGACATTACCTTGTCTTAGGGGATGTGGTTAGCCATTCTTCGTGTTTCTCAAATGTTATTAAATAAGCTGCAATTTCCTGAAACAGAAGAATAAAAAAATAGTAACAACAATTAGCTCACGTCGGCTCCTGAGAGGTAAGAAAGTCCTTGTTGCTTCCCCGCTGCTGCCTCCCTGGCAAGTCTGGACCCCCATCTCTGCTGGAAAATGCTTGACTTGGAGGGTGCTTCTATTTGATTTTGTTAAGCCCTTTCCATTCAGCCTGCCATACAATAATAATCAAAGCACTGGATTTCAAAAGATGAGTCGGTGGCAAGGACAAAGCTATTTCTCTGTGGGAGGAAAACATCAGACACCATTTCAGATACTAAATGTCATTAATTTGAAGGAGGGACGAATACATGCCAACAACAGGTCTGCACTCATGCAAGGTCATCATTGGGAAGTTCCGTCCGTCTTCTCCTGAAGCCGGACTCATCTTACATCATTGTCACAAGAGATGTCACATTCCCTCAGCCTGATTCCCACCCCCCTGAGCCAAGTCGCACAAAGATTAAAAAGTAAAGATAAAGCCATATTCCAGAGCAAGAGAGAGAGAGAGGTTAACCTTTCCTTCTACTGATAACTTAATCTATTGAGCGGCGCTCCAGAAAGAAGAGCAATGTCAGCAGAGTTTAAGGCAAAGATGGAGAAAATGTGGGCACCTGAAGGTAAATTAAATATTTATAAACACAACAACATCACTGCAGATAGAATTACTGATTTATTAATAATTTCCATAAAAAGCCAGTGGGTGACATCAACATAAGTCATTGCTCCAGCTCTGGGGCATGATATGGCCCATTACTCCCAGCTCCAAACGGATCTGCTAACATGAAATTGGCAGGGATTGGGAGTTAAATTAAGGATGGACTAGTACACATTTCCCTTGATCTTGGTGATGATACAAGACGGAGCTGCTGCCCTTGACTATCAAAACATGCAGAGAGGGGGCCCCCGTCTCAACTTTCTCTGCAGCTGAGGTTCCCAGAGGGCTCGTGGTGAACAGCAACCTATCCACCCAGAGGCTCAAAGCCTTCCTCTGCGCTGAGCCTCCTCTGGGCCTGGACATAACGGAGCTGACACCTGTGACCAGAGGCGCTAAACCCGCCCTTAAAGAAAAAGAGGAGACTCTCACCAAAACCAGGTTAGCAGAGCAGGTTAAAGTAGAAAACGCCACCCACACCATGCAGTCTGAAGGCCACAGGCTCAGGTGGAGATCAGGGTCTCTTATCATCATGGACATCAGCCACCACCACCAGGCGGCCAGTGACCGGTAACCCAGAGCCCACACTGCCTCCTTCTGGAAGCCCGCATCTTCCACCAAGAACCTGGCAAGCAGAAACCTGGGGCCCAAATTACACAGGTTCCTGTCACTGAGTGCAGCTAAAGAAGAGGATCGACCAGCACCCTGTTCTCTCTCATCCCTGAGCCTTTTCTGTTCCATACTCTATTTCTTCTCCTTAGAAAACGCCTTCCCTGAGGCCTCACCGTAGCCAGACACCCCCTGCTTCGGCTGGCCCTCCTAACTATCCATGGCGGGGTCGGCTGCCCATCCTGTGTGCTCCTATGGCACCACACCATCCATTCCCTATGATTTATCACTTTGCGGCATTCTAATTGCTTGTTTACTTGGATAGCATCCCCCACTGGATCATAAGCTCCTCAAGGGTGAGGAATATGTCATCACTGATGTATCCCCAGGACCTAACAGTGTCCTGACAGGCATCTGTTAGGCAGATGGATGGAGGGTTGGGTAGAAGGGAGGGCGGAGGAAGAGTGGGCGTGAGAGAAATAAATGCACAGGTAGGAGTAAGTCCGTGTGTCCGTGTGCATGTGTTCTGAGGCTGTTGTGTGTTTGTATAGGTTTATTATTAGGTGAAGTCATAGCCTAAAAGCCGTGAATGCAGCAGTTCCTAAAGGAAACCCTTACCAGTACTTTACTGAACTCCACACCACTGTAGCCAGGTGATGTAGCATCACGGTTAAGAGCACAAGCTTCAGAAGCAAACAGACCTGGCTTGGGGTGCTGGCTCTGCCACTCGTTAGCTGTCTGATCTTGAGCACATTGCTCACCCTGTAGAAACCTCCGTTTTCTATGAAACTGAGATAGGACCACCTCATGGGGCTCTTAAAAGGAGCAACAAGTCTTAATACTCCGACCGGCACACAGCAATGCCCCCCCACCTGGCCACAGCTAGCGCTATGCTCATTATGAGGTCCACATGATGGGAGCTGCCATCTGGAGGCTCCTGATGAGGTAGCAGGTACCAAAATGGTGCGGCTCAGAAGCTGCCAGTGCTGCTGGACTTACCTCCGTCCATCCCCACCTTCCATCCCTCTCCATCCCTGTCCCCCATGCCCACAGCGAATGATAACATCACAGGGACTGTTCGGAGTTAGTTGGAGTTGATCCTTCCATGTATCTATTGATGCCCATTTGGCTTCACAAAACATGGAGAGCAGGCTGTGGCTGGAGTCGGGGAGTGGATAAATTGAGCCACTTATGTGTGTCAACCCGTCTACCTGAATTTCAGAAAACCTGCCATCCAGAAAAATAGTCTGTGCCTACCGGAACCCCTCGGATCCACATCCTTACTCAGGATCATGCCGAGAGCTAAGTGACCCCTGCTGGCCCAGAAGGATGGGGGCACAGTACATCCCAGCCACCTCCAGACTTATCACAGTGTTCCGAAGACCCAGACACCCAAAGAAGACCTTCATGAACATCCCTCAGCCACTACTCACCCCAACCCAGCAGGGCCCCCTACTGTTACTGTCCTTCAAAGAAACAAACCCCCTGGACCACTTACTGCCTTCAATATTTACTCTACAAATATTTATTGAGCACCTACTGTGTGCCAGTTAGTAAATGAGCCCACTTTGAAGCCCGCTCTTAAAGTAGGTGTGGTCAAGTAGGTGAGAGAGACAACATGATAGAGCAGCGTAAGCGCCATTACAGGGTCACCTGCCCAGTCAAGTCTGTAGACACACCCAGTGGGTCATCCCAGGTCTACTGAGCTGTTGTATGAGCAAGCAAAGCCACAGGAAGTCACACTGATTTATGAGCCTAACCGTTGAGCACGGGCCACTGCTTCCTTCCCCTCAAGGTAACAATACCTCCCACACAATGCCCCTTGGTGAAGCACTCATCCCCACTTAAGAGCAGGCTTACTGAGCAAAGGAAACTGAATGTCCAGACCCAGGCACTTGCCTCTGTGGTGCTCAAGTTGCTTGCCTGGCTTCCAGATGGACTAGGCATGTCTGAGTCACTTGTCCACTCCCAGGCCCATGCTACCCAGTCCACACAGCCCATTTCCCTGATGCAGGTCTTGGTCCACCTCATCATCAGATGGGCAGACCATGGGCCAGACCACCCACTTCCCAAAGCTAAGGAATATATTGGGAAAATGGATATGCACATGCCAAAGAACCAAACAGAATAATAGATGCTAAATAGTGCAGAGCAAAGTAAGGACCATCAAAATTCAGCGTAAGGAGAGTCAGCTGGGCCAGGAAAGGGGATGGCTTTTAGGGGAACAGAGACCTCATCATCTGAGTCATCATTTATCATCACAATGGCTAACATTAGCAGAGTGATGTCTAAGGCCAAGTACTGATCTAGGACTTTATGAGGGATAATCTCACTTAATCTTTATAGCAAACTATGAAGCAGGAACCATGCCCATTTTATGGGTGGGAAAACTGAGACACAGCGCAGTTAGGTAGCTTGCCCAAGGTCACATGGCTAGTCTCTGTGCAACTAGAACCCAAATCAATGTGGAATGGTTCCAGAGTCTACACTCTCCACTACTATTCTGAATTTATGATGTGATCAGAAGGAGAAAAGGAAACCAGCATGTGGAGAGTCATGTTTTCTCCAGCACAGGTCTCCCCACTGACCCGGAGGCACTTCACTGCCCCACCACCTTTCAGGGGACCAAGGGAAGCCAGGCTGAGCATCCATCACTGGGATTCTCTCCTTCTAGCAGGATCAAGTTCATTTTCACCCAGAAGCCCTTGTATGATTCATGGGACCATCTATACTTCAGGAACAGAGAAAATCCCTTATATTCAGAAACCATTTACTTAAAATATCTTACAATGTGGAGAAAAACAACAAACAAAAAGAGAGTTAGTCAAGCTGAAGAAGGGAAAGAGGTTTAAAAAAAAGAAAGAAAAAAAAAGATCTTCAGCCCAACTGTCTGGCCTTTCCCTCTTTCCCCAAAGCTCCACCAACCCAGGGCTCTGAGGAAGGCAAATGGAAAGAGATCTGGTCTATTTCATTTTTACAGAGCAGGAAACTAAGGCACAGAGAAGAGAAGGGACTTACCCAAGGTCAGCATTTTTGGCTGACCCACGCTGGGAAGCAGGGCTCCTGACTCACAGTGCATGCATGATCTTGTTGGCTCTCAAACTCAAGTCTGGCCCAGGAAATTCATGGGATGCTCAAACAAGAAGAGAGCTTGCCCCAAAGAAGTGAAAACGGCAACTCAAACAAAATCATGTATGCGAATGTTCGCAGCAGCATTATTCACAATCGCCAAAAGGTGGAAGCACCCCAATGTCCATCACAATATAGACGGATATAGGAAATGTACTATATCCACACAGCAGAAGGGGGTTCAGCCATAAAAAGGAATAAAGTTCTGATACATGGATGAACCTTGAAAACATGCCGAGTGAAAGAAGCCAGAAAACAAGGCCACATATTGTAGGATTCCATTGATAGGAAATGTCCAGAACAGGGAAATCCATAGAGATGGAAGGTAGATTGGGGGCTTCCAGGGGCTGGGGGGGGCGGGGGGGGGGCGATGGGGAGTGACTGCTGATGGGTATGTGGTTTCCTTTTAGGGGGATAAAACTGGAACTAAATCATGGTAAAAGTTACCCCGAATTGTGAATGTACTAAGTGCCACTAGTAATAAAAAAGAAGAGAGGGTAGACATCCAGCTAGGTGTGACACTGGGGTGCAGAAAATGCCAGCCCCCCTGCCTATAAAGTTGGACTTGAACCCAAAGAGCTACACCCCATGCCCAC